TTAGCAAGTGCAGTTTGGCATATGTTTTTACAAAAATGAGAGATGGCAGGTGATTCTGCCTAGAATGATCCTTTCCAGTTCTTTTCATGTATTGCTTCAACGTTTATTCATGTCCTATCTATCCTTTATCATTTTGAAGTAAGTTTGAGGGAGATTTCTCCTGTGAAGAAAAGTGCTACTGTTCCTTTTGCAGCAACTTTACCAGGTTAGGCAGACTTTTACCAAATTATCTGCACCTCAGTTCAGTATGATGCATAATATATAAATATTATGTATATATAATAAATGTGTGTATATACATATTTTAAAAACCATTTAACAAACTGGCAGTGTCTTTTCTGTATAGTAACAAATCTTTTTCAAGAATTTAGGACCTTAGAAACTCTGGAGATCACAGTACAAGGAATTCTGCAGAAATGTCCGAAGTTGTTATTGAGATTTGCCATACTCTGAAAAAGGCATGTTTGGGTAACCTTAGTATCCTGGCAGATTTGGCTTCATTTACACCAGCTGCAGAGACAGTTGGAGCATGATTTTGAAATCTCTTTAGCATTTTGAATGTTTTTATTGCTACTCCAAGGAATTTGATTTTGAGGATATATCAAGAAAAAATAAACAGCTTTCAGCTTTTTTTTAAGAACGTTTCCACAGAGGATCTGACACTCTGTGGTCATTTCTAGGTAGCAAAAGGCTTTCTGCCTCAGATTGCTCCTGAGCGTAATGATCAGTTGAAATCTTTGATTGGAGTGGGACCAGCTAATGCTAAGATACCTTTGCAAGCACAACAGAAGCAGCAGAGAGCTCATCAAATTCTATGGCAACAGCATTCACCCAGTATCGTGTGTAATTGCTATGATTCTCTAGGCTTATAAAGAGAGCGCCCACTGAGCATACGTTAAATTTTGAAAATGTCTTTGCTTTGAAGAGAATGGCCTTTTTAATTTAAAAATTGGTTGTCTTATGTGCCAAAAGGTTCTCTCAATAGATGTTAGTTTTTGGATATTTATGTTGCAGAGTTTAGGAAGGAAAAAACAGTCTCCTAAACAACAAGACAGGCTATTATCAGGTCATTATATATGTATGTATATGATTATGCTTTGTCTCTATAAGAAAAAGCAAGAGCTTCAAAGGAAAAGACTTTTTTTTCCTGTAACGATCAGAGTTGTTTGTTTGTCGTGGCCTTCAACAACAGTCAACCTATTATTTGCATTAAGAACTTTTATTGAATCTTAATGGGTTTTATCCTTTCCTTGTCCCTTTTAAGATCAATTTGTACAGTTTTCAAGATGACTCCTGATCAAACATATCATGGTGCAGTGTGGTCTAACCAGTTTCAGAATACTCCAGTCTTTGAGTATTCACCTCCAAGTGCTCTCTCACATCTTTCTCTTCCATATCTATATATCCCCACACCAATAATGTATCAGGGCAGGGTGTTCATCCCTTGTCTACACTGGAGAAATAAAGGACACTGCTTAGTTATGGAAGAATTGATTTTTCTCTTGGTATTTTATGGTTTTCTAGAACCTAAATCTGGCATTGATTATTAGACTTGGAAAGCCATTTACTATCTAAAAATACTTTCTTTCTTCTCTGTCTTTGGCTGTGCTAGTAGTTATTCCTGTGGAAAAAAAAATGAATATCCCTGCGTACTCATATAGTGAGCCTATTTGGACAAGAACCCTTTCTCTATCAGGTGACACATAACGTTCTCTGCTCATAATTTTTTATGTTATACTTGAAAGTGGAGCACAGATAACTCCCATATAATTCATAATCAGGAGATAAGTTAATTTGATCGATGACCTGAGATACCTGAGATTTCACCATGGCAAAAGCTTCTCTGAAATGATCTAACAGTTCCAGGACAGTCACAGATCACTGTAAATTATTGTCTTCAGTTGTTAGGTCTCGCGGCCTGTACATGCACTGGATGTCCAAAAAGATTTTTAATTTTTGCATCCTAATTAGGCAGAATGCAATTTGGCAGTAATCATCCCTCAGCTGGTAGGATATTCCTGCAAATATTTTGCAATCTCATTAAATGGCTTCACTGTTTCAAAAAGTTGGTAGATGTTGCTACATAAAGTTGGAGGTCTGTTTTGTATTCCTGTATTAATGATCAGAGCACTGATTTGGGATTACCATTGCAATTTGTCAGAGATAAGGAATAACTAAGGTCTCCCCAGGTCTGTTTTTGTATGTACTTTATAGTTAGCTAGATTAGACCTTCTCAAGGAGTAATTAGTTATATTCTACTAGGATACAGGCAGCTTACTCCTAAAGGACTATTCTTTTAGAGGGCACAGTGTTGTCTGTTCTTTGGAGTACTGCATGTGCTTCTGCTAAAATTCACTCATTGTTTTGGCATCTTACTCAGATGTCTGACTTGATAAAGCCATACCGCAATCTTGGGTTGATTAGACTTGCAATATGCTGCTTCTCCTTTTATAGGATATTGATTGTAAGTTAATAGGGTTGGAACACATGCAGAGAAATATTCATTAAAGACAGACTTGTTCTTTTTTGAGTAATCCCACTGTGTACATTCTGACTGTGGGTGTACTCATACCCTGCTGTGTGAGATTTCTTTAGCAATACTCCTACAGACTGTATTTCAGCTCTTCCCATACTCTTGCTCATGCATGGAGGGCAGACAATTTCAATACCTTTTTGGTAATGCAAACACAGCACTGCCTGAATTTAGTTGCCTATTTCATATCTGCAGAGTGGTTTGGGTCATTATCCTATGCTTTCTTTTTCTTTCCTGGTTAGATGTGCTGTCTCCTTTATTGCCTAACATCATTCTTCCTCCTATCAAGTCTGTTTTTAGTATTCTTATGAAATCTTTGCCTAACAGAAGGATAATACTCTTTTTTTTTTCCATGGAGACATCTTGATGCAGGCCTAGAGCAGAGCATTCCACAGTGGCCATGTCCTTCTGCCCACGTTGAAGGGAATTTTTGTGCCATCTCAGATTTACAGAAACTGAATTTTTACACTTTTATGTTAGAAAAAAAATACATTTTTAATGTAAAAAAAAATGTATTTTGAGATATTGCTCCCTTTATCATTCTTTTGCCAGTTTAGGAAATAGACCCAGGATACTTAGTAGATACTTAGTCATTTGAGTCACTAGTATTATCTCTGTTTTGCATGGTTTGGGGATTAATAATTTCAGTGCTTTTGTTGAGTCAGTTGAGAGCTCTCCCCGTATGTCTGCCAAAACTCTAATCATGGTGGTGATATCTCATTATTCTGGACCTTTTTGCTGTGTGAAATGGTGTGCAAGGTTCTTCATTTTCATCCTGAATCTTACTCGGAGAATGATGAAAGGCAGTTCAGCCACGATGTGGTAAACAAGCAGCAGAAATGAGAATCTCCTCCTTTGTCAGGAGGGGCTGAAATGGGAACCACTTCTTGGCAATTAATTTTCCAAGCTCTTTCAGCTCTTTGCCAGCAATGTAAGCAGGATCACAACTTTGGGATCATTAATGGAAGATCAGTTCGTATGTTTGAGCGAGTCTGTCATGAAGGGGGTTGGTTCACAATGGGCCTATTTGCCACCCACCATAACAGGAAGAATTATGACTTCTGTTTGAAAATGGACTAGAATCTACATTCCTCTCAGACATACTTCTCTTTCTATAATTACCTTATATTCCTTTACGTGTTCTAAGTCTGCTATTGCTTAGAGAAATAAAACGTTTGATAGTTTCATCACGGTCACAGTAGTCTGGGTTTCAAGCTCTTTGTTCATTGTGAAACTTATTCTTCATCTGGTCAGGACCTGTAATCCCAGGTCATCCTGGTCTCAGGACCCTCCATGTCAAAAGGTGAATCATACTCTAGAGCAGTCCTTGCTTTTCTCCAGTGTAACATGAAGTTGTTATTTAGACCGGCATATTCTGTTAAGAAAGCAGTATTTTCAACATGATGTGTTTGCTGCTGCCTTTTATCTTCCATGTTTTGATCCCAAGTTTTTCAGGTTATTTGCTATATCAATTTTTTTAAAAAATCCTTATAATTTGATGTAGGTCTCTGGTTGTTCTCTCTGGTTCAGTACTTTTGTGTTCTCACACTTCATTATTCATAGCTTCCTAAAATTACTGATCAGGATGTGCTGAACTGTTTATAACTGAAAAGACTTGAGGAAAACATAACTCATAGGATACTTCTGCCTTGGTGTTCTGAAATTCTTACTCTCTCTGCCTTTGTCTAGGAAGGTGGCACATCTGGTGACCATTTTCTCAATGACTGACAGGGGAAACTAAGGTCTATATAGCTGCCACTTCAGATACTCACTTTTTATAAAGTAGTTTGCCTTCATTCCTTCCAGTTTTCTTCCTGAAGCTGTGTCCAAGTTCTAGAGTAGCCAAACATATAGTCCTCTGGGACTCACCTCCAGGTCTTATGCCTCTTCCATTGAATTTTATACTTCACATACTTGATGCCACAAGGGTCCTAGCATTTCTTTACACAGATCGAGCTCTTTCAGTAAGCTTCAGTTTGTTTGCTTGTTTTACTGGGAACTCCAGAAGTTCAACTAACTTCGTTTGCACAATTGTTCTTTTGGCTTTCTGACCGTGTATGGACTTCAGCAAGAGGAACTTTCACCCATGGCCAAAATATGTTCTACTAGATTACTGTCAAACCTAGTGTCTGTAGTGCATGTTTGGACACTTGCATAGGTTCATCTTGAGCTCTATCTTTGCTGTTACCTATATTAGACCTGTAGTGTCCAGGATTTTTTCAGCTTTCAGTAGAGTGATGCTGTGGTGGTTGGTTGTGGGAGTCCTCAGACTCTCTTCTGGGTGGTAAAAGGCAAAGGTAACTGCTCAGAGTCACTGCTGGAATGTACATGCAGACTCAAAGAAGAAAGGTTACTTATCAGTAACCGATGTTCTTTGAGACCTATAGTCTGCATGTACATTAGTCTCCTACCTTCCTTTCCCCTCTTTCTGAATCTCTTTCAGGTATGGTTGTGCATTTAAGAGGAACTGAAGTGGTGGCGGATGCACTCTGCCCTAGATTTCATGCATCAAGCAGGCGGAGGGGAGGAGCTGGAACGCACCTCCCAAGATACCCCAAAGCAGGCCACGAGTTCACCCACTCTTAGAATGTATATATGGACTAAATATCTCAAAATGCACCAGCTATTGGTAGGTAAATGTTCTTTATTGCTTGTTTTTCCACATGTAAAACAATAGACTTAAAAAAAAAAAAAATACAAAACTATTGCATTCATTGACTGTGGATGATGTGCATGAACAGTTAACACATGGGGAATTTATCCCAGAATCTGCATTGGACTAAAGCAGTTCCCTGTCTCTATCATGATTTCATGTATCTTGTCTTTGTTCCCCCCCCTTATCTAAAAACTTCTTTTTAGATATTTGAGTGATGATCACTCCAGTCACTTTGCTATTTCTGTGAAAACCATGCCAGAAAACAAAGTTGTGTAACTTGTAATAATATTAAAATTTAAAAATCAGTATTTTGCACAGTTGTAGATAAATATACATATAGTATGTAAGATTGTTTACAACTGGCAAATGAATCTAGAAACTGAACTGAGTTCTGTAGGAATCAATTATAATTTTATAATTGTATCACCGGTTTGTACAAATTCCTAGTTACAGAAAAACAAATATTTTAATTTAAACAATTTTCCCACAGCTGGGCTTCTTGTGTCTTTTGTTTTTTTTTAATTACAAAAGCTTCTTTGCAGTCATTTTTAATCTGTCCATTAAACAGGAAAAGTGATTGAAAAATAGAACCTGATTGGAATTAGAAATGTGGGTTTTCTCTACGTGCAAATATAGAGTGCAAATATGCACATGGATATTCTGAGAGTACTTATTTTCAAGTATAACTTGCAAAGATATACAGGTTATCTGAGTGGAGGGCTGTCATGGCAATATGATTCTTACCTGTTTGTACTCAGAGTTGTCTGAGATGTATTGTGTTGGCTTATGCAACCCCCATGCTTTTTCTGGTTCCTTACCATTGCATCAGCTTAATGTTATTTTGACACCTCAAAAAGGTTGACAGCTGATATTCTGTGGCTTTGCCATTTCTATGTCTTTGGTAAAAATAGGAACTAGGATATCAAGGTTGAGTTATAGCCAGCAAAGAGGGTTGGCTGAATTGTTCTGATCTGTTGTGTGTAGGGTATATGCACTCTAGACGTGGATACACCATAGGTAAGATATTTTTAAGAACTCTAGTTATAGAAAGTTACTTTTGCGTAATGTCAAGCTGCTTTTTCATATACTGAAAAGGATATCCAAAGTAGGCAGTTTTAAACAACCTTAGATTAACACTAATGTATGCAAAGGGGTAGAAAATGTATGGAAAAAAAAAAGCCATCTTTTTCTCGACGGTTAATATCAGGTTTATGGCTCCAAAACCAGTATTTATATATGGGGTTATCAAAAGGTTAATGACATTTTCATGTGCTGTTTTAAAAAAAGAAAGCCTTGAAGAAAGGACACCTTAGATTAACTATTATTAGCAGCTTTGTATTAGTTTAGTGTTTTTTCTTGCTCCCTTGTTCCCCTTTTATCTGAATTGCAATTGGTATTTTAGCTTGTTGATATAAGAATAATCAGAGGAATACATATTAGATCTTAAGATTCTCACTAAAGAGAGTAATACTGGCCAGGAGGAGTTAAGATTTTCTTTTATTAAATTTTTAATTAGTTTGAAATAAGTTCTGAAGAGACTGGATTTTTATTACTACTATAATATTTATGTTAGTACATATTCATATTTTAGAAAGAGGTTTTTTTTGTGTTTGAAGAAACAAGCCACACTGAACTTCAGTGCTTTTGCTAACGTAGTTTCAATATGTGAAGATGTGCGTGTGTGTATGTGCACATACATATATATATATGTATGTACAAATGTAGCTGCTGAAATCTGAGTGGACAGGAAGGTTGATTCAAGAAATAGACATGTTTGGAAAATGCAATTTTAACTGACTTCTGTCACTTCCTCCAGACACCTGAGGAAGCCTGTTCTACTGAAGCAACAGAGACTTTGCAGTGAATAGCTGTGATTTAAATAACTCCACATCTACTTCAGAAGGATCCTGGTGGTACTAACTGTAGATTAGATAGGATTTTTATGCAAAAGGAAACCAACAAATCTTGTGCCTTACTCAATATACAGACTTCTGTGCTGTCCCATTGTAGATTTTAATTCAGTAGACTAAATCAGACAATTAAACCCAATTTGTCTTGTTTTACACTAAGACTAATGCCTCAAGCTAATTAACTAAATTACGAATCTCTCTTTTGTTTTTCTGAGAGGACAAGAATCACAAAAGTGAGGGTTTGAATATCTTATCCTGGTCTTGCATGTTTCAAGAAATACAGCAATGGGTTTCATTGCTTGTACCTTTCTCCAGCCTAACAGTTCAGAACATTGTGCTAATCTCAGCACTAAGAAAGCAAGTTACAGTGTTGGTTGCAGTTAGGAAAGCAAGAGCAATGTTGGTGCTCCCAATCCTGTGGACTTCAGTAAGACAGGTTTTTTTATTGTTGGTTTTTTTGTTTGTTTGTTTTTGTTTTTTGCTACTTTCATTTATCATTTGTATTGGAACACTGTTTAGAAAAATAAGTTTAAAATGACCATCCGTGAGAGTGTCTTCATAGCTTCTCACTTTCAGAGAAGTTTTCAAGCAGTAAGGGAGAGTTTTTGAGCATATAGGATATATAGGATATAGGATTTTCAGAAGAAATGGGACAAAAAATATGAAATTAATTGCAAGAATTAGAGTAAGCCTTTGAAAGGTTTCCTTTTTGGCAGGAATTTAGGTCTTGCTTTTGTTTTGCTTTGTCTGTTCATATTCTTGCAAGATCCTCAGTACTTTAGTGACCAGTCATGGTCAGTTGGCAGAGAAAATTCAAACTCCTTTTAATAGTATTACAATATTACAAATATTATAGTATTAAGGTACAGTAAGTACCTAGGTAATTTCAAAGTTTTGTTTTTCTACTCTGCATTTGTCCTGTGATGTGAATTTCTGACTCTCAGTGGCTCTCCTATGCTATAGTATCAGGGCTAAACTTTTGTGAGCTGAGGTTTGGAGTTAAGACAACATGACTAAGTAAAGTTTGTTGTGAGATCTTAGTTTGTCAAAACTGCCAGCATGCAAACTTCCTCTTCAGTGTATTTTTCCATAGTCTCATTCACTCGTAATTTCTCAGTTACAACGATCTCAGATCTTTCTATCTCAAATCTGGGTTTTTTTGCATAAACAAAAGAGCATGCTTCATAGTATAATATCAATGACTGGATGCCCACATCACCCTAAAAATGAAATCATTAATTACACATTTAGTGCTGCTCAGCTCCTTTACTGAAGTGAAGCAGAGACCACACACACACACACGCACGCACACAAGTCAAGGACAGTAATCGGGGAGCAGACCTATTGGCAACAGATGTTGCAGACAATTACTAGGCAAATTAACCCATAAACCTGAGTTATCTCCAAAGATCAAGAAATTGTTCCTTCCTTTCCCGAAAGGACCCCTTTATAATTTCCTGTTTGTTTCTCCTGTTCACTTACTTGCAGTGATTGGAGGACAGCAAACAAATGGTTTCATAAAGGGTATGCCAGCCATTGCCACGGCGCATTCCTTGACGAGGTTTCCCAGGTACCATTGGCAGGGGGAGACTTTTTACAAGAAAAGTAGCAATAAGAAACAGTTAAATGAAACATAACAAATGCTTAATGGTATGCGCAGATGGTCGTTAGAAAATCCTGCTAAATCTAAATTAAGTGAAAAGATATTTTCTACATTTTAAATCTTTCAGATCAAGACAAGGTGCTTTCTGAAAGATATGCTTGGGTCCTGGAGTTGTGACTTTCCCACTGTTTTGCCACTCAGTCTAATGACAGTTTTGCGTGTTGAACATTGATATGCCTACAATACCTCTATGAAACAAGTTTGAAGTGCTATAGTCATTGACCAAGTGAAGTGACAGGTCTCATTAGCCTAGTTGTGGTGCCGCAAGAACATCTGTACCATTTTTGCATTTATCTTTGTATGTCTTAACATGCCAGTGCTTATTGGAACTTGCAAGTATACATCAACAGGAAACATAGGATCTTTGTGCTGTGCCACACAGTGTAGACATGCTTTCCTCGAGTTAATGGTCTTTACTGGCCTTAAGATCAGTGAATATGTATGTGAAAGATTAACTCAGTCAAAGAAAGAGACAAGATTTCCTGCAATGGTAAAAACCAATAAAACGATCTTGAAAATTCAAACAGATCATAAACAATGTTTCCAGTGAGCAATGTAATAACTGAAATAATTTCAGGTCTGGGCAATACATTGGAAGTCCAACAGTACTTCCAGGTTGTGGGGGAGGTTGAAGCTAGGTGACTGCTGTCATGTTCATAAATGCCTTAGAAAATGCAAGTAGAAAACTAAAGCACACATAAATCAAAAGGCTTTATATAGGGAATACTGTCAAAAATACCAAGCTTTTATAAGTCATGTCAACTGAACATACATGTGCCCATTTGTCAGCTGTGGTCTAAGAAGTGTCAATGGAGATCCTGGAAAATCCACTAGGTGAAAAATGCAAAACTCGTGCGGCTAAAAGAAAAATCAAAGAAAATAATGTTTGAATGTATACTTGTATGCTGTATACCTAGAAGAAGCAGCAAGAGATGGAATTAAAATGTATATTACATGGGCTTAATTATTTAAATGAAAGAGAAAATACCAAGAAATTGGATATAAAACAGGACACCAGATCTAATTCAAAGCTGAAGGAAACAACTTGATTGATGTTTTATTTCTATTCAGGAGAAAAAAAAATGCAATCAATACATTCCCTGTAGGACTACAGGAAAAGCTGAACCAGTTAGGATGACAGAAATAAAAATTTGTCCAGAGTAACCAACTCCAAATTGTTTTTTCCTTGTCTGTCTTGTCAATAGAAAATCAGTGAGAAAGCATGCTTTAGAATAATAATTATTACAGAAGAACAAGATATTTATTTGGTTGGGTTTTTTTCTAAAGATCCATAGTGCTGTTTTATCTTGTTGTAATTTGATGGCAGATTTTAGATTTGGGTACTGTAGTTAATATAAATCAATGTAGTTCCAATGACTTGAATGGAATAAGTAATGGAATACATAATCTATAGACCCACTGTCTTGGGTTTTTTTTTGTTAATTCTTGTCATCAGTGGAACAACAGAAGAAGAGATGGACACTCAACAGTTATTTGATGGAATTTTCTGTAGTTGAAGAGTTGCTTTATTTGTTTAACATCAGTAAAGGAATACTGCCAAATATTAAGCCTCTGGCCTGGAGGAATTCTCGCCTGAAGATAAAGCAAATCCAATCCTGTGCTAAGCTAATGGTGAATATAGCTGAACTGGTAGCAGCAGCAAAGTGAATATGAGTTGCCTTTTGTCCTTAATTGCTTGAGGTGGTAATTCTTTTTTTTAGATATTTAAAATGTAAATAAGAATATTCTAGAGGACGTAGTTTTAATGGAGAATGATATGTCAAAGTGGTTTTTAAGTTTTTGCAGCAGTTTCTTATTTTTCTCACTCCAAGTAGTAGGACACTGTATACTAAACAAAGTCTGGCTTAACAGGTTAAATTAATTTAAAAAAAAAATCAGAAGTAATAACAAAAGACTCCTAATGTTTTGGGAACTGAATGAAAATGTCTGGCTCACTGTGTTCAAAGTTTAAATAGTTACTATTCAAGATTCTGTGAAAGCAGATGGATGGAGTGTTCAGAATCTATATTAGTATCTTCATACAAGCTTTTCCTTCACTATTTTGAAAAGTGAAAGCAAATAAGTTGAATATTGATCTCAAGTTTTTTTTCTGTGGTTTTAAAAGATTTAACTGGTACCATTTACATTTCTAAAAATACAGTAAAACACAAACTTAGCACTTTATAATCACAGCTCTTATTACTGGAAATTGCTATTTCCTTAATATAGTAAGAACTTGAAAGAGAATTATATCCCTACCTAAGTACACTGAGGTATAACCATTTATTTTTTTCTTTACTGTTGGTTTTTTTATCATTCTATGTGCTATCAAGTGATATTACTTTTTGATGCCTTATTTTAACTGGAATATCACTGAACTGTAGCAAAACTAGACTTATGAAAGACTTATTTTCTCCCTGAAATCACCTGGAGCTTGACAGGATTTATTCTTTCTAAAGAATAAATGTACAGTTGTATATTTGCACATGTACAAATAATTAATTAAAAAGAAACAAGCACAAAATTTCCACTTCCTGTTTTATACTGACAGTTTTTGTGGTATTTTTTTTAGTAAATGTAACATCAAACTCTTTCTTCATTGAAACTCCTCACAAGAATTCTCTGTAATTTTTCTACTGTTGGAGGTCAAGACAAATATTTTTCTAAATGATGTAACAGCTTTGGGATGTCAGCTGTTGGAAAAAAAATGCTGCTTATCTGTGTTAAAGAACTTCAAGATTTAAAATGTTTTGAACTGTTGCAATATAGATTTTCTTTATGCAAACTAAAATAAAATTCAGACTTGATAGCTGTTTACTGATGTATGTGTTGGAGGCAGATAATGCACATTGTTTTCTTTAGCTTATTTGAAATGTTCGTATAACCAGAATCATGGTAAGGTACAGCCCACACAACTGAACTACAAAGAATCTGCTGAAGATGAGATGGTTAAAATGACAGATGTAATTTCATTAAAGACAATAAAATAAATTCAAAAGCAGAGAGCATGAGTAAAGAGGAGGAGAAATAGACACAGAACCTTTGGCTGTGCAACTTCTTCAAGTAATTTTTGACTGTGTTCGCATCATGGGCCTTGCAGACAGACAGAAATTCATTTAACCTGCAATTTGGAACAGGCTGTATGTGTATGATTCTTTTTTAGCCAGAAGTTACACTGGCAGTGCTAAGCCTGCAGAACATACATCTGACGATTAATGTAAATTGATAGTACTTGAAAAAATGTTGTGGACAGTTTTATGGCTATCAACAATATTTTAATTTTTTTTTTTTTAAATCTCAGCAAATACTCAGATCTCATTTTATGAGAGACATAATGAATTTTTCACAAACAGTTCTTTCCTTCCCCAATATAATACTGCAGAAGCATTCATGTTCTTTCACATTCTTCTGAAGAAAGGTCTATTTGCTAAAATAAGGATAGCTGTAAGAAAAAATAATTGCTCTGATTTCTGGAGATTGTTTTTCTACCGAGTAATACATGAGTATACTTCAGATAACACTTTAGCTAAATTTGAACTGCAAGCAGACACCCTTCTTATTATGCTTGCCCACAGTAGATATAGGAGATAAGTAGCATGATAATACTGAAACTAAATATATATACTTATGTCAAATTTTTGTTCAGGTGAAATATTACTGTGCTATCTCACTGAATTTTACACAGCAGATCTGTTAAGCTTTCTCATTCCAGCTTTGGGACCAGTATACAGAATAGTATTGCAATGTAGTAGGGAATGTAGAAAAGATGATTTAAGATAAGAGGCAACTTCTGTGCTGCTTTTTCAGGTGTATTTTGGTGTCTTTTATTGGAGAGGCCTATAGGAGCATTGTACTTATTTTTCCGAGGCTGTTAAAAAAGTGAAGGACAGAAACCAAAATTACTGCAATAGGAATGAACCGTGTAAACCAAGCTGAATGGGTAAACGCATTAGCATGTCCTGCTGTATTTTATGTATAATTCAGAATCAAAGTAAACTTTGAAGTAAGTAATGACTGAGAAATCTTAATTTTCTATTTCAGATCCAGAGATAGAGAATAGAATTTCTGTTTCTATTTCCAAAATTACTATGCCTGATACTTGAATTGGTTACAGTGGCTTAGAGTCTTTGAAAAAAAAAATGCGAGCGATTTTACAATTCCTTTGATTTATTATGTTTCTTCAGTCCTTTTTAAGACATTGTAAGCCTTGGGGTGTTTTTGAGATCGCTGTATTTCAGGTGTTATTGTCAGATCTGACAGCATTCCTGTTCTCTTTCAGGAGACGCTGATAGATTGGTGTGATGAAAAGGAGCTTAATTTGATTTTAACAACTGGAGGAACAGGGTTTGCACCACGAGATGTCACTCCAGAGGTGAGAGAGTCTTGGAATAAGAAAAATCTGCCTTTGATGTAGAAATGTACGGGAAGGGGCAGTGTTGGGTTGGGCGTTTTGTTTTGGAGGGGTAGGGAAGGGTTTGTATGACCTTAGTTTTCAATATGTTTGGACATTTCAGGTGACACGCAGCTTGGGAGTAGTGAAAGCAATAGGAGGTACAGTGAATTACTGTGAGCTTGGATTTGAACCAAAAGGGCTTCCAGGCTACAATTTGATGTAGTATAATGGATTTCCAGTTTCCTCACAGAACAAAATACTAACAGTTATCTGGGCAATCTAGACTAGAATTGTAATACAGCAATGCTAAACAGAGCATCCATGTGTCTCTTGTGTAGAGCACAAGCAAAAGGGGAGCAAAAGAGATCCCAATGCAGGCTGCGTTGAGAGCTGCTGCATGACAGGTTAGAGAGTGGGAGGTAGTTGGTGGGAGGAAAATATTCTCTGCAAAGCTGCTTATTACTTCATTTGACACCACATTGTCAAAAATGTTAACTAGGCACAGAGATGGAGGTAACCTGCATCAATAAAGGTTGAAAGGGAAGTTCAATTACGTTTTACTTGTAAGGCACAGTAAGGTAAGAAAAAAGAAAGTAAACTGATGTGAACAACCTCACGGCCATGAGTTATATTATGAAATGACTTAATTATTGAAGTATTTTGGTGTTTATAGTCCCAAATGAGATTAATTTGAACTTTTAAAATAACTTGCTTTTGTCTTTTTATGTTCACTAAAAGACAGAATTCAGATTGAGTGGCTTAAGGGTATATTTCCATAATTTAACATAACTAGATTTCTTTTAAGTATTCTTACAGATTTTTAAATGGTTAGACCTTGTGTTGATTTCAGTTCGTTGTAATGCGTATAATGTTTTTTTTCCTTTTACCTTCCGATGTGTTCTGTCAACCATAACTGCAGTTTAACCTGTTTTCATTAGGAATTTTTAGAATATTTTTAAATTTGTTTTACAGCATTTTAATAACTAAATAGAAAAGCAATGAAGACACTGCTATACACTATTTCAGGTGATGGTTAGCTTGTGTACTAGCACCCTTAAGAAGCTAAAATTTAAGAGTTAGCTTATCAGAGAATGGGACAGTATAAAAGAACTGTAATGTATAAGCTAGTGAAAACATATTTCCAGTTCATTCACTTTGCTAAAGCAACACAGAGTAACAACTGCATTGGTTTAATTGGTCTCTTTACTGTCAAACTACTTTAATGTCTTAGAAAGTTCTATTCCAGCACTGTGGGAAAGGAAGACGGAATACCCTTTTGCAAAGTGGAGTATAGGCAGGAGTGCCAGAGAATGCATTTCGGCCAGTGCCCCAAATTAGCTACAGATTCTCAAGCAGCACTGGCATTTCAGCCAAGAAATTAGTAATGAGAGCTTTACAATTAAATACCTAATACTTTCTCTATATTGGTTTGTCACTGATGCTCAAATTAAATACATGATAGGTTATGATGATTTGTCTGGTTATTTTGACATCAGTGTGACCCATTTGAAAATCTGTGAATTGAAGTTATTTTAGACTGTATAATAGTAGTACTTAGATATAGAAAGATATTAATAACTTGTACTGAATAAAAATATGTTGTTATTAAATATAATCAACATGTAAGAATTCTTTTTTTTCTGTGTATAACAGAATTAAATGCTTTACCTGTCAAGTTCTTCCTATGCTTTAAAAGAATATATAAATTTATGTATTAGTTTTTCAGAAAATTTATTCTGTTCTCAGTGACTAAATTTAGATCATGATGAAGAGATTGAATCACAGTTTTTAATAAAAAGTGTCAGTGATCTTTAACTGTTAAGGTTTATTCATTACCTTTGTAATAGCTTTCTAAAGCAGCAATTCAAAAAAAATAAAAAATATCTAAGGGGAAGAAAATCAGTCTACCGGTACATGTTACAAGTTATATATTTGAATAAATATAAGCTTTGCTCTCATACTGTATTTCTTGTAAGTAAATGTAAGTAAGAAAATAAGTGAGAAAGAAAAGAAAATCCAGAATAGAAAAATTCCTTGTGTCAATATGAAATACTATCATAGCAAACTTTCAAGAAAACTTGGAAGTGGCTTTAGCATGTTGTGTAGAGGGTGCTCTTCCATCATTACTGAACCGGTATCGAAATGATGGGATCATGACATTGTGCTATTGAGATGTCATCTTCAAGGCGTGATTTTAAAGAGAGTAATAAATGAGTATAGTACTGGAAGACACTTGGACTTTTTTCCTGAGAGTAGAATGCCAGTTTCACAGGTCATATTTCAACTTGAATTATTCAATTCTGCTTCTCCTTCATCTTCCGCCACTTTGAATATCGTATTATTACAGTTATTAGAATGGTATATATGAACTTTTTCCCTTACAGTGGAATATGTGACTTGAGATACTCACATGATCACATCTAATTTTCATTGCCTAAATTTAGAGTCCAGACTTAGTCAGTGGACAGGAAGAAGTTTTAAAATGAGTTATTTTGATTCACATTTTGAAGAGGAGGTTTTAGCTTTTCAGTTTAATTATGCAGTGTAAGTGTCTATGTATGTGATTAGAAGTGATGGAATGTATGCGGATAGATGTCTGAAAGAAATGGTATTGTAGATGTCTTAGTGAATGTTTTAAATGTTTATCTTATGGTGGTCGTGATAGTTCTCATCTTGAGTAAAGTCAAATGCAGGCCTAACATTTAAACATAAAAGGCATTTTTTTCCACATTTTTATTTTGAATATAATTTGTGGGGATAGAGTTAAATCCATACTGGGGAGATGCTCTTTAGATCCATACTGGAAATCTTTATACAGTGTGGTTGTTGAAATGTAAAGTGTTTAGTGCTAGGCAGTGATCAGGACCCACTTGTCTGTGGAACTTCTATTTTTTCTGTCTATGTGCAAACATTTTTCCATTTCCCTCGTTTCCATTTTGCCATGCAATCATTATTTAGTAGGCAATTGCAAATTTACCGAATGTTAATGATGTTGTATATTATTTTTTTCTGAAGCTATTTAAACAATAGGGTGACTGTTGAATAGGACATTGGGTATCCTTCTGATACAGAAATATTTTTTTTCCTCTGTCATTCAATATAATGAAAAAAGGAAAAAATCTTGTGTGGACAGGCACTCTGCGTAGTCATCTCTCTTCTGTCTTGTCCATTTTTACATTCATTCTTTTGAAAAATTGTACATGCAAAAAACTCATTGGCCTTTCTCTTCTCAGCATCCTCTGACTCTTTCTTACTCTTCATCTACTGTAACTCAAGAGCTTTACTAGCCTCCATTAAAAAAATACTCTTATGTACTCAGAAAAAAATACAGTTTATTGTGTCTAGACTCATGTTATAATTCCTTGAGCTGTAAGTGTAGCAATGTATATTCCCTATTGTTTCAGTCATGCTGCAGATGATAGCCTTGAAATTTTAAGACAGGACTTTAGAATAAGCATGGAAGAGCTCTATTCCATCATGCAAAATCAGTCTTATCATCTCTCATGGTATTCCTTTCCTTTGCTCTGGAAAAATGAAGAATGCCCTTTTCAGGGCTTGCTGGTTACTTTTTTCTATATTTGTAGACTGTTCTAAAGTATTAGGATGTGTATGTGTTTAAATTTATTTTGACAACATATGTGTACCTGTTTATTCTTTCAGTAAAAACTAAGCTCCCTAGTGTATGAAAAAATACATTTCTCTGAATTCCCTCCAATTTGTCAGCGTTTCTATGAAAAATGCTCAAAATTAACAAAATATTCTAGCCAAACAAAAGCCATGTCTAAAGAGAAGAAAGTCCCTATTCTGCTGTGATGCAAAGTTTTTGTATATTCAACTCAAATTACACCAGCATTTGCCTCATCATTATCAATTGCATATTTTCTATAACCTGGTTCTTCCCTGGGGTAATTTTCAATATTACTGTTTCCCAAGTTTCTCCTTAGAATTTAGTGTCTGTATTTCTTCAAACATATCTAAAATACTTGTTTTCTGAATTCCAAAATTCTAAATCCCATTTTATTTTGGTGCCTGTTGTAACGGCACCCTTGAATCTCAAGTAGTCCTTAGATGGCCTCATGGTGTGTGAATGTTAGGTGCTCTTTCTGCATGCCTCATTCCCATTCAACTTTGGAGATGTTCAGGCAAGCGTACACCACAGGTACGTCGTGTTATAACCATACTCTTGACGCCAAACCAGACATTCTCCACCAGGAAACCAAAACCTACTGAGCCGTTTCAAATAACGTCTTTCATTTCATGGTCTATACTTGAACTGGAATATGCAGTTCCTTTTATCCTCCCTGATTCAAACAACAGGGATTCAGACCGTCAGGTTTTCTAATGGTGTTCCTTGGTGGAACCTGATGGTGTGCTCTATTAGAGTACACCTAATGGTGCGCTCTATGGAAAGAGTAGTCAAGAACTGGAACAGGCTACCCAGGGAAGTGATGGAGTAACCATCCCTGGCAATGTTCAAGAAAAGTGTAGTTGAAGCACTTAAGGACATGGTTTAACTGGTGTGGTGTTGAAGGACTCAATGGACTTGAAGGTCTTTTACAACCATTATGAATCTATATGGGGCTTCCTTTTCATTTTGATTTCTTTGTAAAGTTAGTACATAATAAAGGATGCTGTGTTTGTATGATGTCTGACCCTATAACTTCTCTCTGGACCCTTCAAAAACTCTTGTTTTCCAACTTTGGGGAAAATTAGGTTTCCAAGGAAGCTTACCTAAAGGGTCTAAGTTATGCAACTTACCTAGTATCTGGAGGCAGTAAATATGCTTAAATAGAGTAGCTTGCTCTATGACAGACTGCTACTAAATTCTGTACTACCCTGCTAGAGACATTTATCAGCAACTCTGTAAGATATCTTTCCCCTGACACTTTTTGGTACATTTAATTCTTTTTTTTATCCAATCTACCTTATTTTTTTAATTTAATAAGAGTTTGAAATAGTGTATTGAGGATTATAAAATA